TAATCAAGAAAAATACAAAAACATTGAGTATTAAATATAACGTCAATTTTGAAGCACAGGTACGCGCTCTTTCTGGAGGGCAATTCACCTCCATCTTGAAATTTAGTCCTGAACCATGCGAAGACACCCCTCAAAAATTGCACACTTATCGTGCGCTGTAGCTTTTTTTGCACGATTACATTTTATTTTACATTTTATTGAGGTTGTTATGACCACATTTCAAGAAATGCACAACACTGATTAGACCGATAGCCATAGGCTAGTAAGGGGTCTAACGGGAGAAATTATACAAGCAGAATAGAATACAATTTGTATATAGGAAAAAATCAAAACATCAAAAAACGTGGATTTTTCAACACACGAACAAAAATACAAGAAGATACACATTGTTGCACTTTGTTCATAAATAATTAAATAATCAAGTATTGACAAAACATCAAACTATGTGTAAGGCTTAGTACATGGTCATTAGTATAGATCTACATGTAGCAAATATTTTTTAAGCGCTCAAGAAAACCCTAGAATCTTTAAACTGAAGTGGTATGTAATTGCACACTTTAGCTCCTACGAACTGTAGTAAGCGTTCATCATACACGTTTTTAGTGGGTGAAAGATTAAAATACCGCAATGTCATGCATGTAGTGACGCGGGCCGAGGAAGAAAAGATAGATACATCGAAAGGTACACTGTGTGCAATAACATTGTTGATGGTGACCGCGGTTTTATGCGGCCGTAAGTAATCAAAAGGTAGAATATCCAACTTGTGAAAGAAAGACGCACGCTTTTGTAATATTCGAATAGGATCAAGGTAAGTTTTAAATGTCCATCCCCATGAGTCTAAGCAGTATGATAGATGACTATGAACAAACGAAAAATAAAGGACTCTGAGAATATTTCTGCTAAAATAATTTCTAGCAGCCAGTAGCATACTACAGCCATATGCTAGCTTAGTGCAAACAGAGTTAATTTGATTTTTCCAGTGTAATTGGCTGTCGAACACTACAGCGAGATATTTAAATTCATTTACATGCTCAAGTTGGCAGTTGTTCATTGTAAGTCGAAATGACTCACAGTTTATATTTCGGTAACGGGAGTGAAAAATGGTGTATTTGGTTTTCTTTGCATTGAGTGTTAACTTGTTCACTGCAAACCACTTAAAAACATTTTCAATTTCTTCATTAGCTCTACATTCTATATCAGCTATGTTATCGGCGGTAACTAATAAAGCTGTGTCATCAGCGTACATTAGCAACTCAGCTGATTTGACTATGCATGGCAGATCATTTACGTATAGTGAGAATAATAGTGACCCCAGGACGGACCCCGGAGGTACCCCTGTCTTTATGTTTAATAATGACGACGTAAGATCTTGCATTTTGAACATTTGATGACGTCCATCAATGTAGTTAGAAAAGAGGCTAAAAACTTTGCCGCGGAATCCATAGTGTTTCAATTTCATAAGCAGAATATTATAGTCGACGGTATTGAATGCCTTTTTTTTAAATCAATGAAGACAACTGCCACAAGAAGGTTGTTGTGCAGTGCTTTGTTAATCTTCTGTGATAACGATAACACAGCTGTTGATGTGGAATGGTGTGATCTAAATCCATGGTGCTCCGGGCAAAAAGAATTATACTTATCTAAGAATAGGCACATGCGTTTTCCAAGAATTTTTCCAAATATGGTGTTCATAATTCTTAACACAGATATGGGCCGATAGCTTGAAGGATCAGAGCGATTGCCCTCTTTATATACCGGCACAACTTTGGCGTTTTTTAAACAAGATGGGTACGTCGACGTACGCAAGCAATGGTTAAATACGTGGCACAAGATGGAACTCAAAATATCAATGTTATCTTTCACTAAGCGAGCAGTAATACCATCTATTCCACTGGCTTTGTTCGTGCTTATATTGGCAACAGTGTCATAAATTTCATCCTCAGTGATGTAGTGAAGAGCAAACGTATTTGTTAAGGAGGTTAAAAACATTTCATTTCTCTACTAGGGAATTTTGCGGCTAAAGTAGAGCCGATTTCAGTAAAGAATAGATTAAATTATTAAGTATACGCGCATCGACTACATCAGGTTATACACGCTGTGTTGGTTCTTTGCCGACAACTTCTTTTACAATTTGCCATGTTTTCTTTGAATCGCCTTGGGCTTGAAAAATGAGTCGAGAATAATAGACCTTTTTTGTTGCCTCATTATATTCACGGATTGGTTTCTTAAAAGTTTGAATTGACCTAAATAATATTTATTTTCTTTGTGCTGTCTCCACTAGTGGTACCAGAAGTCTTTCTTCTTCAGCAATGCAAGAATCTCTGTTGTCATCCAAGGAGTTAGCGGGGTGTTATATGAGCGTGCGGACACGTGTGAACGACTGCGTTCAATGGAATGGCGAAGGGCTTTTGTTATGTTCTCTAGTTCAATGTTGGCATCATTGTCATACAATTTTTCAAATTCGATGGAGAGAATATGATTCCGTAATAAGTTGTAATTGGTTTTGCTTGCATTGCTGAAAAATTGTGCATTCTTGTTAGGAGTTTTCCTTATGGAAACAAAGGTAGAAAGGTGATCTGCTATCGGTTCATTATAAACACCAGCATTCACTTTCGATGATACGTTAGTTAAGATGTGATCAATCGTTGTTGCTGACGTACTGGTTACTCTCGTAGTGGTATGTATGAGATTACGAAAATTGAATGAACTAACCAATTGTGTGTAATGAGTGTAACCAGTGTTTGCGGTGTCTATGTTCATATCCCCAACGATGACTGCTCGGTTCTCGTACTTGGTTGAAAGACAGAAAAGAATTTCTTCCATCCTATCGAGGAAATGCGCTGCATTGGATTTTATTTGGTGGACGGTAAACCACGCCAGTTATGCCAAAACAGTGGAGTCTGATAAAAAGTGCTTCTATATCGGTAGAGCTGAGGTTCAGGAAGGATATAACTGTATATGCGCAGCCTTTTTACAAAAAGCGCCACTCCGCCACTACGTGAACATGAGTCTCGCTGATGTGATATGGTTTCGTATCCGGGAATGTTGACATTCTCCCCTTTTTAACCATGTTTCGGTAGTTGCTAGCACATCAAAGTGGTTTGTATGTTTAGATAAGAAAGCAAGAAGCAAATTTAGGTTTTTCCTTATACTGCGGATATTGCAGTGGAATATGTTAGTGTGTGTCTTATCTATGAGCTGATCTACTTGAGTTATCGTGACAGCCATTTCTCTGAAAAAGTCTTGTGGCAGGTGATCAAGAAGAGCAGCTACTCTAGTTTCGCGAGATCATCCTCGCATGTAACGTGAACTACCCTCGAGTTCTCAGACTTCCTAGCAAGAATTTTTCCTTCGGAAACCCCGACGAGTCTCCAGTTCTTATCTTTCTCTGTATAGCCTCACCTAATAGAACCTTATTTTTCAAGACACAGATGTTCGTTCACGAACCCAGGTAGATTTGTACTGAAACCAAGTTGACGTGTTAAGCCTATTCCTTCTTGCTGACTTTACTATTAGATCACGTTTGAAGCGAGACAAGAACTTAACGACAATATTTGGAACATTGTTTGCCTTCGTCGGCACTCTGTGAACAACATCAATATCTTTGGCGCTGACCTGAACACGCAGACAGTCGGCAATTTTTTCCACAATCTCCATTAGGTTATCTTTCTCAACATAGGAAATGCCTTTCAATTCAATGTTGTTTCGTCTCGAGTATTGCTGTAGATCTATCAACTGTTTTCTTGTATCTCTTAATTTTTTTTTAATTTCCATGTTTTCTTTTCGACACTCGATGCTTCGATTTCTCGCCTCATTCAGTTCCTTACGCAGCGACTTCATTTCAGTCTTTAGTTCACCAAATCTGTCACTAGCGAAGCTTACAGATGCCCTGATGGATATCAATTCTGCCTAATAGCATTGTGCAATGCATCAGTAGTGTTCACGTCTGTTTTGATAGCAGAGAGAACGTCAAGAACCTTCGTGTTCATCTCTTGCATTGCCTTCCCTATTTCCTTTACAGTACTTGGTGGTTTTTCACCTAAGGCATTGGCGAAATCTGTCAGGGTATCCCTTTTTCTTTTTTCGGCTCACACTTTGTTAACAAATAGCAACAACAAAATGACAAGGTCATAGAACAAATACAAGTTCAGGGCGGATCGGTAGCCGTGAGTGGATAGGATTTGTGCTAAGTTACACAAATGATCAGACTCCTACCTGCGATGTGTAGAATACATGGTTAGTCAGTCCAACCTACGTCGGCTGCCCGATCAGCTCTGAATGATGTCTATCCGGGGTTGCCTCTTTATATAGTCGATGGGGGCGTGCCCAACGGCCTGCAGTGTCACTGTCGACGCCTCGTGATCCGAAGCAGTCGGCACTTGTAGGAACAGGGGCACAGGCGCGCCTGCGCGTAGTCCACTTGATGATTGTGCGTTGCTGCAGAATGACGAGACAGGCAATCCGATGCTTGTAGTTTTGTTCCTGCGATGTGTAGAATACACGGTTAGTCAGTCCAACCAACGTCGGCTGCCCGATCCGCTCTGAATCTCCCCTTCCCCTCTGAAGATAAGAGGGAGAGGGGAGCACTTTCTCGGAGTTTTATGTAATAGGCAGCTGAGGTAAATAACGCGTTGATGAATGATTATATGCAGTTTATGATAGTGATCACAATACCCTGTAGGAGATATAATCCAAGGTATGGCAAGAAAATTCTTCCAACAGTGCATGATATACACATATTCTAGGTCCAATCAAAATACTAAGGAATGATACAAAAAAACGTGAACGTCAATGTATTCTGCCCCAGTAATAACGACTCAGTAACGTGAACTATAAGCAACCAAGTAAAAGAAGCCATCGTGTAATAAATAAACATTAATTTTATAGTGAGAGAGAGCTAACATCATCGAATACAAGGAACAGTAGGCAAAGCCCTCACCATACCGTGCTACAAGCGTCGCAATGCTTTTTAATTTAATCGTGTGTTTTTCTCCATACAGAGGAAAAGGGAAGTTGTGTTTCGATGCTGGGGAAGTGCCAAAATGCCTCACATAAATGTGCCGGACTGGTACATCAAAAGATGACATGCCCACATGGACAGTGGTGCTGTGTCCCCACTGTGCACTAGTGAAAATAGTTACGCTATTTTTCATGGTGTCTCCCTGTAGACAGATTGGTTCATGAGCCAATAAAGCATTTATTTTCAGTAAATTCGAAGCATGATTTCTAAATGAGATACCCACCAGGGTAGTGTAACTGTGATGGTGTTTGACTGCTGACCCGTAGGGATCGAATCCCAGTTGCAGCGGCTACCTTGTCTATGCATGGAGGTGAAAATGTGCACGGCCCGCACACCTAGATTTAGGTGCACGTTAAAGAAGTTCAGTTGGCCTAAGTTTCTGGAGCCCTCCACTAAAGCCTGCCGGATAACGGCAAAGTGGTTATAAGGCATTGAACCTCAAAATTTATTATCTTACGACACGTGTACATTACACAAATCAAAAATGTGTTTTCACATAATGTTCAACACACAACATCCAACCATTTGATAATTGTCGCGCCAGGAGATCAAAATATAGTGTGATTGTTCACCATATCCTGAGCAAATTTCAACGCAGTATAAAAGAGAACACTTTTAGGTTGAACATATGGTGGTTTTAGGACCTTAACCCCCCCTTATAAATCATTAGGTCATGTGCCCGATTCACTACTTTATCGATGAAGCATCTGGTTCGAGGGGCAAAACGTGCGGAAGAAAACCAGCTCATTCGACCAACAATGGCACCCTTGTGCCGGTAAAATTCGGAAAACTATATTCAGTCTTGTTTTATAAAACAAGCAAAGAACAGACAAATTGGGTTAGAAAAAAATAAAAAATAACAAGAAAGCTAGTTGGCGAGTTTTTGGAATAAAATCGCCCATGTGTCAAACGCTTTTGTATTCGCCAAAGACACAATTATCAACGTGACAGCGTTAAAAGCACTTTCCGGTCAAATTCCACAAGCCATGTCAGTGTCGCTGTTAGTGTCAATGTAAGCGTCGTCTAATATGAGTGAAACATAATCACCTTGTCCCTTAACAAAGAAACGAGAAAGGTGGAACTATGATGAATAAATTATTTCAGGATTCCATTCAATGTCGAAACGTGAGCCATCTGCGTAGCTAGCAGTTGTTCTATCACAAAGAATAATTAGTAAACTTTTTCTTTCATGAAATGTATGTGTATGTGCGTCAGAATGCACATATAATGGCACTAACAGTATGGAATGGAATGGAATGAAAAAATTGGCAGCACATCCACGGAGTGAATGATGGAGATTGGGGTGAAGCATTCGTCCGTCCATTCGTTCTTTCTTCTCTCCGTCCATGCGTCCACCTGTGTGACCGTCCATGCGTCCATCCGCTCGTCCGTGCGTGCGTCTGTTCGTGCGTCCGTTGTTGTGTTTATCCATGCATCCGCCCCTGCGTCCGTTCATGCGTCCATCCATGCGTCTGACTGCGTGTCCGTTCATCGATATCTTCAACACTCCAAGTACCACCATTTCGCATCTTTTCATCATATATTCCCCATATCGAAGCACCGCTATCCAGCGGAGATTTCAAGACTAAACTAGAGGTGGCACACGCACACTTTTTTAAGGCTTTAGCTTCGGGTCTACTTCCAACCTTTAACCACCTCGAGTTCGGGGTATATACTATTTGACTGTATTCATGGCACTGCGGCCCAACGCTCGCTAAACCTTTCTAAAACTAAGGAGGTTACGCCCAGCGAGTATAACGCAGCAACCTTTTCCTGTCAGATGTACATGTAAATTGCTGCTAATTGGAAATTAGAGACAGGAGGATTCAGATTTTACTTTCTTACGGCTTGCGCTTTGTATCTACTTCCCACCTTTTACCATCTAGAGTACATTCATGGTATACACTAGTTCATTGTTTCCGTGGCACTGCGGCTCACCGCTCGCTAAACCTTTTTGAAACTAAGGAGGTTACACCCACTGAGTATAACGTAGCAACCCTTTCTTGTCAGATAGTGCTCAATGTACATGCCAATTGCTGCTAATAGGGATTGCAGCGTGCGCGTTAACTAAAAGCCAAATGCTCCTGTTTCTCATTCCCTATTAGCAGCCATTGTCATGTACATTGAGCATTATTTTTTATTGTTCAACAACGCACAGAAGAAATCTCTCTCCGGCACCACCTTGAAGGTCAAAATGTTATACTTGTTACGTACTACAACGGCTACGAGGGATGAACGGGTGCCGCTATAAGAAGATGGCCCATTGCCGGTCGGTGAGAAGTGAGCATAAAACATTTTTAAAAAACACTATATGAGTGTGATGTATTGGAAGGAGTCTCCTTAAGCATCATATGCTGCGTTGCATAGGTGTAAAATCATGTGAGGGGTCCAAATAGTGTTATTCGCTCAGACATACTTATCATCATCAGCAGCAGATTCAGCAACAAGGTGAGCATCTGCGTAAGTTAACATCTGCCCTACGGACGCGCAGTGCGCCCTTCACTGATTCACATAAGGTGTAACTATGGCTATTCTGCTCTTAACTGTGCTTCCTACAGGAATTCGATGATAATTTGAAGCGGCCAATGTTACCCACACAGTAGATTGTAGTGTCGGCAACATGGCGCGACTGAGAACAACGAACACACTCAACCCATGCTACACAAGACTCCTTTATTCTGGTGACAGTCGTGTTTATATATATGTCAGAGGTGCCACCATCTCTTGAAGATAGTGGAACGTAACTAAAGTAACCTAGTATCGACCTTCGACACTACATCAAACTCTCCCCAAATATATACATATTTACACAAAAAATGATTACGAAAAGAGTCGCTCTCCATATCATGGCCAATTATACATAGTCCTAAAATCTTGTGGATTGTCTTCGGTTTCTTGCGGACCTTCGCAGAGTTGGTGGTCCACCAGCCGGTTCGGCGCCAGCAACTGCAGCACAATCACCACCACATCACACTGGAGCATTATCACCATCACCTTTCGCACTATCACCATCACCATGCAGTGAAGCACTATTACCGTTACGATCGCCAACATTAGGAGCAGAGTGATAGCATAGCTCGGAAGAGCGAGTCGTTCTGCCAGGCATCAGTGGACTTCGGACGGTGTTGTTGGAGTGTCCGTTGTCGTCCGAGTTTAGCGCATGGTGCGGCAAAGCTTCCATGAGAACTGCAATCAATGGAGAGGCGTTCCGCGTGCTAACATCTTCAAGCAGAAGGACCATTGTCCTATTCGCTCCGAGAATTTTCAAAGGAGGTCCAAAAGTGGGAGTGCCCTTCGGACCAGTGAGTGGTTTTTACCCCTCACGTACACTTCCACTTGGAACTCGGGTACTTGTGCAGCTCTTCCGCCAGTGAATATAATCCTTGCTTTTACGCTGGTGCTCTTTCACCCTCTTGCGAAGTGAAGACATCTCCTGAACTGGAATCTGCGAAGAAGTTCACAGTGCGTATAGTCAATTGATATCCAAAGAGATCCTCATGTGCCGGCTGTGTAAAATCACTGCTAGAGAGAGTCCAGTGGTACTGTGAGGAGTGGCTCCTGTATATTTCCTAAGTACTCTTTAACAGTATTTATTATTGGGCGCTGCTCCAGTCATTGCCAACAAAATGTGTGATTTGAGGACACGGTTAAACCTTTCGACCTGTCCGTTGGCGTGGGTGTGATACACAGCCGAAAAGCTGTGTTTTATACCCCAGTCTTCAAGAAAATACTCAAATGTTTGAGATCTAAACTGTGGTCTGTGATCAGAGACGAGTTCAACCGGATAGCCTTCCCGTGCAAATATCGACAAGAGGAAGTCAAGCATTGTGCGGGAGAAGGCTTTACGGGCGAAGGCTATTTCCGGCCACTTTGAGAAGTAATCGATTACAGAGATGACAAAATGACCGTCAGCTGATGCACGCTCAAATGGCCCAGCATCATCAATAGACATATTGCTCCGAAGCCGGTCAGGAAGAGCTACTGCCTACAGTGAAATGACTAGCTCTTAACACTCTTTTCCGCAGCTTGGTAGGTTGCATAGCAGTGGATAGCACTCTCAATCTGTTTGTCCAGACCTGGCCACCAGTACTTTTCGTGGAGACGTTGCTTTGTTTTCACTATTCCCGGGTGCGATTCATGGACCAGTTGAACGAATGCAGTGGTGAGCTTGACTGGAACTACAACACGTTCCGAGCGCATCAACAGGCCATCCACCACAGATAGTTCCTCTCGCACCTCCTAGTAAGGTCTAAGTTCAGGTGGCAGTGTTTTGTGGTTGGCCTTGTAGCCTGAATGAATCGTGCAGCCTACTCGAGCTTGCAATCTTCGGCTGTGGCAGTACAGAGATCATTGATGTGAACTGAGATCATTACGACGGGCACTATTTCTTCTTCAGTCTTAAAGCATTACGTTGTAACTACTCGTAGTCTTGCGCTGTGCAAACATGTTCAATCTTAAAGCCGTCTTCCGTGCTTGGTACAGGAGGCCGGGACAAAGCATCAGCTACTTTGTCGTGTTCCCCACGCCGGAACTCTACAACAAAGCTGTAACGCAGCAACTGAGCAATCCGCCTTGCAATGCGAATTGGTCGTTGCCCTGTGCTTCATGTTGACAGCAAAGATACGAGGGCCTGGTGGCCTGTTACCAAAAGTATTGATCAACCCCAGAGATAAATGAGCCATTTCTCGCATGCCCATAGGCCGGCCAGGGCCTCGCGTTCTCCTGTCGAGTATTTCTATTCTGTCTCTGTCAAGGATCATGATGCAAACGCAACGGTTCGAATGAATGGACCGTCAACTTGTTGCAGTACTGCACCGAGGCCTTATGCAGATGCATCAGTGGCTACAATAACTAGGAGCGATGGGTCAAACATTCGCAGTACTCTTCCCCGTAGAAGGAGTTCCTTTACCCTTGTAAAATTTTGTTCAGCAGTCAGATCCCGTTCAAAATGAATATCCTTGCGAAGTAGCCTTCACATAGGTTGTACCTTTTCAGCAAGGTTGGGAATAAACTTGGAATAATACTCCACAAGACCGAGAAATGAACGCAGCATGCCTACATCTGCGAGGGGGGCAGCGGGTACAATAGAATCAACTTTTGCTTGGAAGAACACTATTCCTTCTGCGCTGATATGACGTCCAAGAAATAATAGCTGTAAAGCATAAAAGTTGCTAATATCCTTGAGCTTGAG